CAGAATTATTCACTTTTACAATATATTACTGCGCTGTTATTTTATATAACTGAACGGTCGCATGTAACTTGATCACCATATACTCTAGTAATATTATTACGCGTGCATACGAAATTGGACGGTGCGCACAAATTTCTGTCTATTCTGCTTTTTAACGGGGTTCTGCATCGGAACAAAGCGCGTTCTGCTAAAACGATCAACATTTTGCTTCGGCTATGTTCCCCGTGTGTTTCGAGCTGGCATTAAAATTCCGCGGATTCAATAGAGTTCCCGAAACAACGCAACGTCATTTTTTAACCGGGAAATTCACACGATTTCCCTGTCCCTTTGTTCGCTCCACTGCCTCCCTGCCCTATTGTCTCTGTATTTTCGCCAGAATGCAAAATCTGGATAAAAGCACTGTTCGTAAATAATATCTTCGTACATATAAAAGAATTCCTAAGACTCGTATCAATATGATTTATTATATTGTATAATTTATTCATAACGATGTAACTCTTGCCAGCGATAATGGAATGAATACGCATTTGTGTTCGTCGACGAGGGTTCGTCGGAGTGGGTGTCGTTAGTCGATGAGAAATAAACTGGACGAGGTGCGCAAAGTCCTCTCGGCGAGCAAAATTTCACAGCTGCTAGAATTAATTTCATACGATTAAACGTCAATACGACGGTGTTGGTAACCGTTTACACAACGAAAACAGGTTAATGGACGTCGCTGTAATAATACGATAGTGCTGGCTGTTGACGTTATTACGATTGGCACGTAGCAGACGCGTGACATTTTCCAAACTAATAACGCGCTTCGTTTTATCCGTCGTGTCCCCTTCGAAATTTCAAATGCGTTAATGCCGTTCTGTCAAATAGTAGTAATACTTCTTCGGATCGTTATTAATCAAGAGTGACTGCGATCGGAGCAGATGTGCAAGCGAATTTGCGTGCACGGAAAATATGAACGCATGTACAAAAATGTGAAGATCGTTCGATAAAAAAATCGGAGAATCTCCTTTTTTCTATGACATATTTTTTTAAATTTGCAATCTCATAAATAATTTGAGAATAGAAGCAACCAAATTGGAATCTGGCGATTGAGGGATTTCCTTTTTTTTTCTATCAGCATTTGAAAGAGAAATTCCTCTAAAACATGTTTTCTCCATTTTCTACATAGTCAATAAAAATACCTTAAATACTCGGTTTATTACGTCTACGAGTTGGGCATGAAAAATCAATGAAGTCACACACGTGTAAACTACGCGCGACAGTTCCGTAATCCCGTCTCTGCGTAACACTAATCATCTGCGTAAGTACATCGTCAACGACATAATGGCGCGTAATGTGACAGATTTCCAGCGGGAGCACGCTGGCATTCCCAGTCGTAGACAATAATCAGACCGATTCACTGATTTCCGCTGCCGATTCGCGTGTCTCCGTACGAAACCGTTCCGACTGTCTCAAATGATAAATATGCAAATCGGGAATTATTTATCAGACTTCAATAAAATATATAAACATTTTTATTGCTTGTGTAAAAGATGAACACATTTTCTGAATTGAAATCGCAGGCATATATTATCTCAGAATTTGCTCTGTCAAATTCCGTTTAATCGGAGTTAGGTAGCCTAATTATTTTGGACGACGCAGGTACGCTCGCGGAGAGGCAGTACAACCAATTCACCGGGAACGTGCACGTGATGAAGGCCGTGGCCTCGGACATGGTGCTGACTTTCTGTTCTCGGAGCCCGGACAATCAGCTGTACTCGTTGCTGCTGTCGCGGGAGCACATCCTTCAGCAGAGCGACAAACGCGGCGTGCACAATTTGTTGGGACGCCGCGGCTTGAAAATCGTCAGCATCCGACAAACCTGCATGAACGACGGCGCCCGGAGAAGAGGATCGGCATACCTAATCGGTTGGCTGGCCGTGCTGGGCATCCTTTCCGGGATCTTCTTCGGTTCCTGGTAGTGGTAAAAAAAAATAAAAAAGAGGGGGATCAAAACTTCGGGGGTAAATCGTTAGCTGGTTGGCTTGTCTTCGAGAATCGATCCCAGTCGAGAGCCACCGATTCGGAATTAACACCGACAGCTTTAACCGTCCTTCGAATTTCTCTCCCGTGTTCTTTCAGCCAAGTATAAGAGGAGAAAAGGGGGAGGATAGCGGGGGCGATTTCAGTAGTTATCGAGATAAGGATGGTCGATTTAACGACGTGACCGATCTTTTGATCAAAAGGGCTCCGTAATTGCCAACGCAGCTAACGATCTCGCGTCTCGTGTCCGTTGCACGGTGGCTCGTCCGCGGCGCAATCGTAACGAGAATCTCGCCGACGAGAAACGAGAGACGCGAACTATTATATATAGGTAAGTACACCTTCGGTTCTTTTCGGGACAATACCGTGGGAAACGATCCTATTGGACGATGTATCGTTTCGCGTCCGTTTACCGTACAGTACACCCATTGTCGAGATTCTGTTGCCTCGAAGGAATCCCGGATACCGACTGACCCGGACTTGAAATCTGTCCAACGTATTTATAACATACGATCGGCCGAGGACCGGTCCAAGTGTTCAAACTCCCCAGGTCGTTTACTCCTTCAATTCTCGACGCCGTTCTTCCCGGTCGCTCGACCCTCCCGCCTCGTTGTTTTCATTCTTTCCTCATTTTCACTTCTCTTTAATTTATCATCGCAGGTATCGATAATATCGAAAGTGTAATAGCTCACGTCATTCAGAAATCTCGGTTCGAATTTCATTTTATTTTAGTTTATTCATTACGTTACGAACTTCCATAGGACATATCATCACCGATTATTATTATTATTATTATTATTATTATTATTATTATTATTACTATTATTATTATTGTTAAATAAACGTTTTATGTTCATGGGAACTGGGAGAGTGAGACGCGGTTAGGAACGAGCGTTCCCGTGGACATTAGTCACGTTAGGTAGAAGTGCATGTTGTATGTATCTCTCCGTTCGTGGATTTAAGAAGACAATAGTAATGCGTCCAGGACGCGTGTCGGTTCGACAGAGATCGATCGCGTAGCTCTCGCCGCATAAGATTCGTCCGTTCGCCAGACGAACGAGGCTGCACGGTACGCAGAAAGTATTTAATGCGACAACGTGAACATCGAACGCGGATAGATACCTTTTGCCCTCGAGTTCGTTTTAGAGTTGAACCACGATTCGATCGGTTCACGATTAGAACAGCAGTTACTGTCATTAGAAACATTGTCGTCGACTCATTCGCTTTTTATTCGGGACATACACGTTTACTAAAAACGCAGACACATAAACAGACACACACACACACACACATACAAACACGCGTGCATACTGAATACATATCTTTTTATACTTAATCGAGATTCGTTGAGGCGATCTTTTTTATAACGACTTTTCAATTCCGCGTCTTCGCATGCCTTTTTATACGAAGATATATTTGAACGTACAAAATTCAAAGCTTTTTACATTTTCTATAAATACACGCGCTTCCAGTTTCGAACGGCAGCTCCGCGCCGCCCACGCTAGTCAATTCTAGTAGCCCTCCGCGGATGGACTGGATGCTTCATCTGCAGAAAAGCGAAAATGTAAATATACTGGTATTCAACGTCAGGGGTTTCAATTATTATACAAAATAAAAAATACTGTAACGTTATTTCATTATTACCGACATTTTTATTTCTAAAAGAATATTTAAACTGTTAATCTTTATTGGACTGACGTATTGACAGTGAACGTAGTTTATGTTCAATTATTAATTTTGACATTTCGCGTTTTCAACATGCAACTTCTGGTTTAGACAGATTTTCGTGCAGGCATCCAGTCTCTACGTGGAGAGTCGCTAGTCAATTCTATCGACTTTTAACACCTAATCGTTGTGTCACCGTTTCAATAATTTCAAGCAAAACGATCGATCCACGCGTGTCGCGCAGATAATCTATTAATAACTGATAACGTTTCCTCTGGATGTTTTCGACGCATTCACTCTGAATATTTGATAAACGAATCGATGCACTGAAATTGAAATGTTTACAAGGGAATGAAGAGAACTGCCACGATTTGTTTCTCTTTTGTGAAAAATAAAAAAATATATAAGGCCTGTGCGTTGTATGTATATAATATGTTCGGAGTGACTAGAGAAATTTCGATTGAACAAATATAACTATTAACATAGAACATTATTATTATACGCATGGGGAAAGCTCGTTAAATTCTATTGTACCACTTTTCGATGGGCAATCGCGAGGGAGAGTACGCCGTGTTATGTTTAAAATGCTCTAGAGTCTTTATTTATTGTACAGAATGCTCGATATACATATTAAATATAAATATAAATATATATATATAATGAAAATACGATCTAGTACCTAATATACGATATTATCGTACATCGCTTATTGTGTGTATAAATATGGAAAAATAAATCACTTCGACGGTTCCTGCTTCTACTTATCCACGCCCACGTACATCCGATTTCAGTATTAAAAAGACTTCCCAGTGTGAAACTTTAAAAAATCGAATTTTTTTCATACCTTCAAAAATATCATACATACTAAAATCTCATAGGAACGTATCTATATTTGAAATGTTCGAAATTAATGAGGAAAAAAATTCTGACCAAATCTTCTTGACGGAGGATCTATCGGTTTTCACCTAAGATCCGTCTTATCGTTTCTTCTGACCAGTTCTACGTTTCGGGGATGCCGGTTAATGATCAACTCTGACGGCACTTGCGGCCGGAGGCGGATGTAGCCCGGCGGTCAAAGGGATCCTGTACAGACAGCCGTGGAAAACTTTCCAGCAATGGAACCGAGTACATAATCCGGTTAATAAGAGGAAACTGGGGAAGTTACGCCAGCCGTCTAGCGGCTCGTTTGTTGTTTTACCAGATTTAATGAATTGCGACCATCGCCGGCGACTGCTTACCAATAATTATCCCCATCGAACGGATTAGAGATGATCATCTGGGAATTCGTTTGTATACAGAAATCCATTTTGCTCGAGAAGTTCATTTGTATAGAGAAATCCTTTTTGTAAAAGGGATTCGTGTTCGCTGGACCATTTCGATGGTTCCTATGCGCGATTCTGCTGGTAGGAGAGCCCGGGGGCGGTTCAAGCTGAATTATATTATACATGTAAATGTGGAACACGCGGGGCTCGTAAAACAGGCGTCCCGGAGGAGAAATATCGCGGTGACGAGGGCCGTGTTACGTGGGTGACTCGAATAGAGAGACCGATCAAACACGAGCTCTCTCCGGCGTAGGGCGGTCGTCCAACAATGATGGACGATCTTGTATGTACGCGGCCACGTCCGGAACAATCGACTTTCCGAAATAACACACCGATTAACCCATCAATGGGGATTAGCATTTTAATTGCGCCGTGGGTGTCTTACAATTCTTTTCTCCCCGCGAGGGATCGCGACCTCCCGCTTCACGGCCGGAACTGAATAAACGAATTAATAAATTAGTTAATCGGCCGCGCTGATGAATCGACTGACTCCGCGCAGGAAGTCCAACGAAATTTTATACGCGTACGCGTGGGTTTAAGGGAATCAGCAAACAGACAATAGGGCTATTAATAAATTACGCTCGCTACCTTTTTATATCTTTAAGTCGACCGACCGAGGAACAGGCGAACCTGCACGTACACCGTGAATCAGCATAAGTCAATCAGCGGTCATTTTCATTATCACGTGTTTAAATTCGTTCAAATTTGAAGATGAATCCACTTAACGAATTGTATTCCATACCGATTCACCCTGTAGTTTAAGAGGAACACAAAATAAGAAAGACGAGGGCAGCTGCGACGATTAATAGAAGGTACGGGAGCAAGTGTAGCCGAGTTTTACGGGACACGCGTCCGAGAAATAAAAATTCGATTCAATTACCGGCGGCATTCGGGACGCGTTCGTTCGCATAAAGTTTGTCACCTAAACTACTGCTTCGTGCATGTCGCTACCTTTTTATGTGCCGAGGGTATTAGGACACGTGCCGTGTTAATATAACATCGAATATTTATTGAAAATTAAACACTTCTTCATTTTATTTCGTACTAAGCTTTACAGTGCATTTTATTAACTTTTTATATTGTAAATTATTATTTCATAGTTAAAGTTTAGTGTTTTAATACTTAAAGTCAGCAGCGTACGGTATTTTATTCTGTAGGCGTCGATAGCCAGCGAGTCTGACAGAAATCAGTAGTATAAGTCGCGCATTGGTCAGACGCTCAGCGTCCGCGCTACTTACGGAGCTTACATCGCCTATGTATATTATTTGTTACTTATATATATTAGATATGTTGTATAATGACTCTCTTTAAATTGAGATTGGAAATTCCAGAAGTTAAAGCCCATTTCTGATATAGATTTTCGTTGTTTATTACACGAAGTTAACGGAAGTGCAGACACGTATGAAAGACGGGGGAACAGTCAGCGTGACGTGGAGAGAGCCGTATAGACAACGCGCTCGTTACACATGACACGAAACACGGATGAAAAGCTGCAAGTTGGGAGTTCCGAGGATCGCGTCGCAGGTGTACGTGGCGTCGTTTGCAGGGAACGAGCGTCCGTGCCGCGTCTCGATAAAACCGTCGCCAACCTTGCAAATGGATTTCCAGAGGTATCTCGTTGACCCTTGAACTTCCAACTGGAAACCGATGTCAGGATTGTTACAGTATTCGAAAGTGTTCTTAAGTCATAGATGGAACGGTCAACCCAAATCTTTGAGAACTGCCTTTTCATTTAACGAATGGATTCTTAAAGTATTTGTGACGTCGTTTTAAAAGATTAAATGTACTTCGCAGACTATGAGAATTACTCCTCGACTTTCGTAATAATATTTTCATATGTTTGATGAATTCCCAGAGTTCTAGGATAATGGAATCGCGTAACAGTGTTGAAATCCTGATTGTATAATTTTGGATCTTAGGCTCGTTGTTTCGATTCGTGTAACGGCAGCGTATAATCCGACGCCTCGCGGTCTCTAACAACAATTATAACAATGTCGCTTTTCACCAGTGCCGAGGCATTGATCTGCAGACTGAATGGAGGGCGTTAGACAGTGGTTATTGCTGTTGGTTTGAACCTCGGTCGACCGTGATCGATCGCCAGCGCAGCGGAGCGTGAAGATACACGTCTAAAGCATGTATCGAGGCACAGAGGATAAAAGAAATAGGAATTTCACTAAAAACGATATCCTCAAAATCCAAATTGTACTTCGTTACAAAATTTACGTATTTATTTTTTAGGAGAAATTAAATATAACTACTGTGTAAAAATTAATACGATTCTTTGAATAATGAATGGAATTTGTAAATTACATTGCAAACGTTTGATTCTATCCACTCGTATGGAAACAGAAGGGAAGCTGCGTCAGTGAAGTACGTCGCGCTTATCGCTGACGCACGTGAAACCCGACGTAAATTCAAAAGGAAATAAAAGTGAAGTATCTGAGTGATTATCGAAAACGATTTAGAGAGCATAAAGGATCGCCGTTTGCCCCGAGAGGATCGGACCCTGGGGAACATGAATAATGTTTCTCCACTCCAAAGTGGATGAAATTACTCGTAATTCGGTAATGAGCATTGCAAAACGGCAGCAAGACATCACCATAACCCACATCACGTAACCGCGATCATGTGTAATGTAATGCGCGTATTATAACAATAGATGCATAGCCCCGATGCGTGCACGCCTCTAACTACCAAATATGCGCCATTCCTATTTCGGAAAATCAGTTTCTACTAATAGCGA